GTGTGGAAAAACAGGGATCCAATATAATAGAAGCAAGTTCCATGTTTATTATCTCTGCAGATACCTGCAGGGGTTCTTTAGTTGTTTTCCCCTACAAAACTGGTTTGTATTGCAGTGAATCTAGTACTCACCCAGAATGGGAACCAGAAGTAGTACACCAGCATCCCAGTCCTGAAGTTGGGAGCTGTTTTACATGCTCATCCCCAAACCCAAAAACTGATTCACTTTACCACTGGGAAGTCTAACAAGGCTATTCATGCATAGCTGATTCCAAAGAACTGCATTCTAGTTTCAGTTGCCGTTGCCTTTTCTAAGCAATTAATCAGAATCACTGCAATTATAGATAAATCTTGACTTATTTCATAGATATTTAATAGTTTTCTCTGTTCTGATTCATTTTAGTGAGAAGGAGCAATGAATCAAAGAGCTTCTGCTTGTATTGATGTGGCAAAAGGAAATTTTAAATGTTAAAATTACAAACTGAAATGTCATTTTTTGTAATAATGTTCATTAATCCTTTTAATGAAGCATTTCAGTCTTCACTTTTATGTTTTCTTTTTCTTTTATTTTGTTCCTCCTCATATTTGGAGTTAAACAATAGGATAATTACAATTCTAAAAAATGACATTTTATGCTATTCTTGGTGAGAGCAGTGTAAAATCTGGATTTTATGATGAAGGCATCTATGCTGTGAATTTATTTTTCTATAGGGACCTCATCTGAAGGAGGTTGTCCTGATGATATACAAGCTGGTGTTCTCTGGTGTTCTGATCCCAAATGACACACCTGCAGACAGAGATGAGCAACAGTTGATCCAGTGATTTGGGTCCAGTAAGAATCATGGTTATGATGATTTGCTCCTTTTGCCACTAGACTTAGAGAGGATGAACATGAGAAGATTCACAGTAATTGGCACAAGAATCAGGGTTTCTGTCCTGAGGCAGAAAACAGGCAGTAAAACTATACCCAAAGGAGTCCAGAACATAGTCTCTAGCTTTTAGAAAGGAAAATGTAGTGCTGATCCAGTCAATAGCATTAAAGCATTTAAATTGCAATTAAATGTTATTTTTCTTAATGAGCCAGACCTCACAGAATGAGTGCCAAAATCCACAAATGTATTCTTTGGGGTAAGATACAGAAAAGAATATACAATGATGTCTCTAAGGGGAGAAACAATCTACCATATTTAGGAGTCTGCTTAATGAGGTTGGGACTTGAATCTGTCATTAGGGCCAAACAAATATGCTTTCACAACCAGAAGATAGAGAATTTTGATAACTAAATTTGAAGTTAAAATAACTAGAAGAGCTTGGGGTTTCATTAAATATCTGGGAAAATGTGTAAAATATGAAAAGTAAAATGTTCTAGAGAAATAAAAAGTAATTTAGCTTAATTCTTGTTGAACTGGAGCACAACCATTGGTATATGTGTGTGACAAAGCATCAGACCTTAGAGCTAACATTTCCTACCAGTTTGGCTGTAATGGCAATAAAAACCAACACAACAGAGACTCTGGCCATGATTTTAAAAAAGTTTTACTAAGAAAGTTTATGATAACCATTTTCTTTTGCTGCCTCCTCCCAGAAAGATTTTTAATATTCCCCTGCTAGTGAGTGGTATTGAGGATAGTTTTATGTTAGAGCATAACTTCTACGAAAGCCAAAAAGGAAATAATTTTCCTTTGTCAGCTTTCATTTCTAGATGACAAATCACATCTTTCTCTGTGTAACATATACTAAACCACCTACTGATCTCAGATTGGGGATTCAACTTGGACCTCAGATTTTATTAGACTTTTTTAAGTGTAAAAATGAGCACTCTGTTACAGTGGGGATTTTTTTTATTTCTTTGCATATTTGCTAATAGAATGAAACAAATACTTGAAGGTAATACTGTGCTACAGTGAAGAACTGACTTCAGTTATTCTGTTGATATGTATTAAAAATAATTTTACAAAAGTATTTCTATAAAGAACATATATAGTTAATAGTATTGCCCCTGTTATTTCGTCTTCATTTCTATTGATTGAAGGATATGTATTACAGAAAAACTAAATGTCAGGTTTAATCAGGAGTGAAAGCTAAATTCTGGGCTATGTATATGCTTAGATATCACTAGAATCAGGTTCTGCTATTATTTATACTGGATTTTTTTTTTTTTTTTGCACTGTGAATAATTACTGATCTTCACCAGACTCAGGGAAGAACCAGTTCCAAGCAGGACAACTAAGAGAATGAATGCCAAAACATTTTTAGATGGCCAGACTCTATGAAGGAGCTAAAGATGTGCAACCAGGAGTAATCATAGCAAAATCCTTCATATAATTACAGAATTCTGGAATCTATTGGAAGCAATTGTAATGTGAAAATATAAACTTGCTGATTGCTAATTATAGGGAGACAATGTCAAAGTCAAATAACATACAACGTAATTCTGACAGTACAAAAGATACTTTGAATACCTCAGAATGTAGTATCTACAATTAAGGAAAAAAATGTATTAGAGTGAAAAGATTTTGGCATAGACAATGTAGAATTGGCAAATTAATGTCACAGAGTATTTCTATTTTTGCTTAGGAACTGATTACTTCTAGGTGAGAGGATATGTAACAAGATACAAAGAAGGGGAACCAAACATCGATCGGACAACTCGGGCAAAAAAAAAAGAAATATTTTACTCAGGAATTAATCTAAGAGTCATATTTTTTCACTAGTTAAGCAAAGCACTGATCTGTGCCTATCTAAGCAAATTGAGGTGAATTTTTTTTTTTAGGGAGATCCCTGTTAAAAACTGGGCATAAACATAACTTTGAAGACATCTGTTCTAACTGTATACTGAAATATTCCAAACACATCTTGAAACAAACAAAATGAAACCTTGCAGATGCATTTTCCTGATAGAAAAGAACACTGTAACTATTCTTTAAGACTGTTTTCAAGATGCTTATGGTATGAGTACATTTTCTTGTCTTTCACAACAGTCAGAGGCAGCCTCAGCATTAGTGTCTCATGTCTCTGCTAACGACAGTGGTGTTCCATTAACATACACCAGGTTTGAACTTGGCTCAGGTTAAGACTTGTGACAAGATCCAGACATATGTAGAATCTCTCATTTCATTCCAAACTAAATAACATTTTCTACCAGTAGTAATCCCAGTGTTTTCAAAAACTGTTTTAAAAGTCAGCTATAATTCCCCACAAGGAACTTGGCTTCTGTGTTTATAAGTATTATCAAAACAATATAAAATCCCAAACTGGGTTCATTTGATTAGAATTCAAATCTGAAACTACTTGCTCTAAGTGGACCAACTGCTGGCCATGGCCGAGCCCAACAGTGACAATAGCAGCGCCTCTGGGATAGCATATTGAAGAAGGGGAGGAAAATGCTCAACAGCAATTGCAGCTGGAAAGAGGAGTGAGAGGTAAGAACTGTGAGAGCAACAGCTCTGCAGAAACCAAGGCCAATGAAGAAGGAGGAGAGCAGGTGCTCCAGGTGCTGGAGCAGAGATTCCCCTGCAGCCCATGGTGAGGCAGGTTGTACTCCTGCAGCCCATGGAGGCCCATGGTGGAGCAGATATCCACCTGCAGCCCAGGGAGGTCCATGGTGGAGCAGATAGCCACATGCAGCCCAGGGAGGACCCAATGCTGGATCATGGGGATGCCTGAAGGAGACTGTGACCCTGTGGGAAGCCTGTGCTAGAGCAGGCTCCTGGCAGGAGCTGTGGCACCATGGAGAGAGGAGCCCACACTGGAGCAGGTTTGCTGCAGGACTTCTGACCCTGTGGGGACCCATGTTGAAGCAGTCCGTTCCTGAAGGACAGTCTTACATCTGTGTATGACAAAATCTTGGAGCAGATTCTCCTGGAAAGCATGCTAAGGCACATGAAAAACAACCCTAACTATTCTATGGTACTATGATTTTATAATTCTATGACTGCACCCATGGAAGGGACCCACTCTGGATCAGTTCATTAAGAACCGCAGCCCATGGGAAGGACTCATGTTGGAGAAGTTCCTGGAGGACTGCCTCCTGTGGAAGGGACACCATGCTGAAATAGGGGAAAAGTGTGAGGAGTCCTCCCCTGAGGAAGGAGGAGCAGCAGAGATATGTGATGAACTGACCACAACCCCCATTCCCACTGGAAGTAGGGAGGTGGTAGAGAAAACTGGGAGTGAAACTGAACCCAAGAAGAAGGGTGGTGAAGGGAAATGGTTTTAAGATTTGGGTTTGTTTCTCATTATGCTACTCAGATTTGATTGGCAATAAATTAAATCAACTTTTGCAAGTCAAGTCTGTTTTACCTATGATGGTAACTACTGAGTGATCTCTCCCTGTACTTATCTTGACCCACGAGACTTTTTTTATATTTTCTCTCCCCTGTGCTGCTGATGACAGGAGTGACAGAGTGGCTTTGGTGGGTACCTGGCATCTAGCTAAGGCCAACCCACCATAATAATGTAAGAAAAATCCTTTTTAGCAAAATGCTACTATTCTGGTTCTCTTTGATGCATATGTCGCTTACATTCTATATCTCTTATGTCAAGTCTAGCATGCTGCTACTATATGCCCCTTTATAAAATAAAGCATTGGATAAAGTAAGAACTAGTGATAAAATAAAACTATGACATAAACCCCTGAAAGCTTCTTTGAAAAGCTATCTTACAAATATTAAATATCTTACCAGGTTTTCAGTGAAATCAGCTTTTGAGGTACATGTGTTTTACAGTCAGTTGGCTCCTTGAACTGAACTGACAGGGAAGTCAAGTTTTATTGTGAAAAGTGACTTTTGATGGCTTTTTACTATACATTTGAAATTGAAAGAAGGGCAGGCTGACCCAGCCCTGTCTTACTGGTATTATCAGTACGAATGAGCTTGCACAGATGATGGTGGGTTTTTTTTAAATCTCTCTCCAAAAGTTGCTTATTGTAAGATACGTAGCATGGAAATAACTTTACAGAGGTAAAAAAGAACTGACCTTCTTCCTTTCTTTTCTCCGTAGTTTGTTGCTCAGCCCAACTGCCAGCAGCTGCTCGCATCCCGCTGGTACGACGAGTTCCCTGGATGGAGGAGGCGACACTGGGCTGTGAAGATGTTGACATGTGTTGTGATAGGACTCCTTTTCCCCGTCTTCTCTGTGTGCTACCTGATAGCTCCCAAAAGCCCATTAGGGCTGTTCATCAGAAAGCCATTTATCAAATTTATCTGCCATACTGCATCCTACTTGACTTTTCTGTTCCTGCTGTTGCTTGCTTCTCAGCACATTGACAGGTCAGACTTGAGCATGCAGGGACCGCCACCAACCATCGTCGAGTGGATGATATTACCGTGGGTCCTGGGTAAATGTATTACTAAAGAAAATACAATGAAAAGTGTTTTGACCTCTATGGTTTTGCCAAGTATTCTTGAGGCAGGAAGACTGTTGACCTACGAAAACAGGCAAATTGTCCATCTCCTCCACTACCTAGCGAAAATAGTAGACAACTTGGGAAGGCTTTAATAATCCGGTGTCACCACCTGATATATTACAGTAGGCAAAATAAAAGATACCAGGGGTTCCTTCCTGTGATTAAACAGTACCCTGAAACATACATATTTATATTCTCTTTAATATCTGTTTTCTCCAGGCCAGAAATTTTTCTGATTATTCTAAGTGTCTGGTTTTGACACAGCATAAACCAGTCCTCACCACCAGCTTTACTGTGAGGTGTGTTGTCCTTCTCTGGGTGAATATTGCTACTAATATTTTAAAAGCCAATAGGTAGTAATATTGCAAAGGAATTAATTAATCTCACAGGCCGCTTGGAATGACATTTCCTACAGACAAGTCAGACTAACTTCAGTAAGTGACATTCACATTTAAATACTAAAAAATAAAATCTCTCCAGTAAATTTTCCCAGTTTTGTACAATCGAGAAGTAAGAAACCAATATAAAAATCATCAGCTTGATACATTACTTACTTAGAAATCAATGCTACAGTGCTGAGGAGGAGCAGGGGGCTTTTCTGTGCTGTCCCATGCCCAGAGGAGATATTAGGAGCCTTTCTGCCCAGAGGAGATATTAGGAGCCTTTCTGCCCAGCCTTCCAAGATAGTAGGTGGTCAGTATCTATCCAGCTTTCACAGTATCCAGAGGCTGAAAGATAATAAGAACATATGTTGACACATAGACCTTGACATGCCATAGTGGGTTTTATTATTAATCTATCTTTTTAAAGAAAGAAATTAGAGCCCAGAGAAAAGGCACAGTTTGAGAAGGACAAGGGCTAGTTTTAGCTAAAATCAGTTGTAAAATTTTGGTTATCAACTCCTTTCCAGAAAACATGCTGTGGGAAGAGGAAGAACCCCCATTGCCCTCAACCTCTGACACTGTTGTTTACTTAGGAAAGGGTTTAAAAAACTCAGTATCCCAAAGCACTTGTTTGAAGAAGCCATTAACCCTGAGAATTATGACTAGCAAGATTACTATCATTTCTAAAAGCAGCATTAATATTTGCAGTATAGACTTATATAGCCAGATTACACCAGTACTGCCTGTGCTGAATAAGTCCTTCCTCTGCAAGTAGTACAGGTTAAATCAAGGGAACTACTTGCATAAACAGATATGACCATGAATAAAGATCAATAGTCAGATACCGTGTGTTCAGATAGCTTGTGCTTAATCTAAACTGCAATGTTTGGAGAAGCTGTGCCTTCCAAACTCTCTTGCATCTAAACCAGTGTATTTTATACACTGCTCTCTAGTGGTCCCTGATTAGTGGTTTCTTGCAGTTCCAGTTTCATATTTGCTGGGATTAGCTTTCAGACTTTGGTTGCTGCAGTGCTTTAGCCCATCCAAATAATAAGGCAACAGATTAATTCATCATAATCTCAGGCAATTCATTAGGTTCCTAAATTGTCCTCATCATTGAAGGTTTTTTTTTGATTCAGTGAATATTGGTGAAACCCTCCTGTTTGCTGTTTTCATATTGAAATACATACAAATTGTGGTCTAGTAACCTTTTAATAAACTAAACAGTATTATGAAGTCCTTATCAACAAGATAAGGTTATTTTCCAGTCCACAATTTAGTCTGTGATCTCATCTCTTCAAACTGTACAGTTAAGCAGTATCCTTAAAAAGAGTAAAAGTAGCACTCTTGAATTACACAAGGCAGCCTAAAGTTGGGGTACATAGATACATCTTTGAATCTTCTGGATGTAGATGAAAATTGTTGATGTCTGAGACAAAATTAATGCGGCTCTAGGGTAACAGTTTTTCTTTGAAATTGGAAACATGACCAAGTAAACCCTTTTCCCAAAGCAAAAGGTTATCCTGGTGCAGCTACAGCACGTCAAAATCATTAACATTTTAAATAATAGAATTCTTTGTTTCTTTTTTCTTATTTCAAATAGCTCTGCATGTAGTTTGCATTTTAATAGCTACCTCCCTTAAAATGAAGAGAGGAAGAGGAGCTCTACTTTCCAGGCTTCTCATCAACATGAATTTCAGCATAAGTATATTTCATAGAACTTACAAATTGCAAGATTGTCCATAACAATCTAAACTCTCCAACGATCAAACAGTAATTAATATTTGCCTACTACTGCGTAAAAGAAGGCTGAAAGTGCATGATTAGCACATATTAAACATGTCACTAGAGTAGGAGGCTCAGAGGAAAAACCTGTGTTGGTCCACATTTCCATGGAGACTATCGACTTTACATTTAAAAAGTCTCCTAAGGAACCTTTTGCATTAATTTAGTCTGTTACATGATTAGATGATTACACAAGTGGTGTTACAGTATGTGGTGATTATCTGTGGAACAATAAGTCAGTATAACAAGGCTAATGTTACAGCATTAAAAAACAGCTGTGAAAAAATCTCTCAGTAAGAAGAGTCAGAATCTCCTGTCCTTGCATTTAAACAAATAAGAAATGCTTTTGCTGGTAAGGAGAATTAATTTTGTTCTTTTTATTAGCTGTCAATTCAGATTTCCCAAGTTTGCCAGATGCTTCACAGTACAGAAATGTAGGGCTGTTTCCTACATTTGAGAATCCATGACCACTGAAAATGAGACAGAATAAACAACCCCACTTGGTGGGGTGGGGAAAGTCAGGAAGAGCAGTATTTTCCATCATCAATTCCCTATCCAGTGTCTAAGTGGCCTCTGAGCATGATAACAGTGATGCATAGGGGAAATCAAACAATATTCAGCTTCACCCTTTCTGTGCCTTGACTGCAGCTCACCTAAAGATCATACTGATCCCTACAGACTTGTCAAACTGGTTCTTCTGCCCTAATCCCTAGCTTCAAACCTATCAGTGACCATGCTGAATGTCTTCACAGTGGGCATTTAGTTCACCAGGGAATGCTACAAAATTTAGAGGAGAAAGCCAAGCTTTCTTAGTAGATGTATTTAAAAAGCTCCCTGCCAGTTTTTTGGGGTGGTGGCAGCAAAAAGTCAAATTAGTCAAATTTGTTTTGATGAGTTTTTTGCTCTTTTAAGGGCATCTTTAAATGTTCATTGTAACTATGTTGTTCAGAATACTGCCTGGAGCAGGAATGCAGCCTTCCTGGACCTTTTAACAATGCATTCCACATCCTTTCTGTCAGAGTGGTTTATGCTGTTGGAGTAAGTTAATCTATAGAGAATGTGGATGTTTGGGAACTGCACAAACTGCAGACATTTGTGGTCAGCAAACTGCTGGTGGGATGTATGGGAGCGTACAGTCTTGTCAGTACTTTGCACAATGTACATCCAAACACATGGCACAGCAAGACACTTCAGATGAAGTGATCATAGAGGTGGCCAGTAAACTGCACATCATCTTCTAAATTTGGTCAACAAAGCGTTGTATTTAAAATTATACAGTTAGTACAAATTGGCATGTTCCAGGGAGCAGATATAAAGGATAATACAGCCAGCGAGATTAAACAGTATGTAATCAGCAGTGACATAGTGTAGAAGAGGAAAATAATCCCAGACAAAGCTGGAACACAGCTTCGGTCAGAAAAAGCATAATGCACGTAATTGCCAATCAAGGCCATTTAGTCCAAACTGCTGCTCAACACAGGCTAACTACAAAGATAGACCAAATTGCTCAGGTTCTTGTCCAGTCAAATCCTGAATTTCTCTAGGGCAGATATTCCACTGCCTCTCTCAGCAACTTGTGCCTGTGTCTAGCGACTGGTAAACTTTTTGCCTGGTAGTAGTTGCAGTATCTCATGCCACAATGTGCAACCATTACCTTTTGTCCTTCCAATGTATGCTTTTCACACAAGTCTGGCTGCAATTATTTATAAGAAGCAATTTCATTAGAGGGTAACAGCACTAATAACCCCCATTAGACTTCCCTTCCCTTCCCTGCCCTGCCCTGCCCTGGTTTCAGATGAGTCCCACTGAGCTTGCTCCTTGAGCATTCAAATGTTTCACAATTTAATGCTACAGTCCTATAAAGAAAAGATAAAGAAAACAGAGCTAGGCTTTGCAATGGGTGTGCAAAGCCTAGCTCTGATGCTTTTGCTTCCTAGTAGGGGCCCTTAGTAAGGAGGCTGAAGACACCTGTTGTTGGTTTATTTGGGTTGGTTTGGGTTTTTTTGTCATTTTTAAGTTTTCCTGTCTCCCATTTTTAGCAGGAGTGGTGAATGTTTCACCCACACACTGTTATTCCTGCCCTAGTACTCTCCTGAGATAGAGGTTCAGTCTTCCCCCAGGCTGCAAAAAGGCAGGCTTCCTGTTCCCCATGCATGAATTTTAGCCATAAAGCTTCAGTGCCAAACATTCACAGTACTCTTGGTGGATATAGTTTAAACATTTCAAGAAAGGAAGGTGTTTTGAATGCTGAAACACAGTTTCATGTAGACACCTAACTGAAACCCCGAGGCAGGCAGTGCTGGTAAGATGCAGTGTTTGATACTCATTTCTTTTTCCAGTTCCTGCTGTTCCTCTTGTACAGGCTCTCTTAACACTCAGTATTCGTAGGTTGTAGACCTCAGGTAGGCAGTTGAAACTCAAATTGAGCATAAAATGCAATTTATGGGGAATTTAGGTCTCTTGCATGGTGAATTTTACTTTCAGTACTATGTACTTAATTTAGACATTGAATAACAGAATATTTCCATGTCTAAACACTTTCATGGGACTAGCCTCCCAAATATGAAGTTTAGAGCCTCAGTAATGAGATGCTGAAATCCTTACATGCCTGTTAATAGGAGAGAAGGGGATGAGAAGTTTCTGTATCCCTAAATATCCACTCCAGGCTTTGCCTAGAGCTGCACATACAGTGGTGTTCTGTGCAGGACTCAGAGCTTTTCAGCAGTGCTGTAAAGGCCTTTCTGTGTTTCACAGACAAGCTAA